TTGATAAGAATTGGAACAAACATCATTCATATTTAATTCTTAGAAGATAATATACTATAAACTTGTACTTACACTTTAAATTAAGCGAAAAAAATTGATAAAAGTATTTTATATAAAAATTTGATAAAGTACGTAAAGTGTCATTTCTAAAAGAAATTAGGTCGATCTATTGATTAGGAAAAAAAAAATTATGATTTAAGTCACGCGAAGATGAGGTTCTATCCTCGATAATCGTCAGGTTTATTATAATAATCGTATCTCCGAGTTAATCGGTACCAATTGCGAAGCATCGTTACGATTAAATGAAAATTAATGCACCATTACCATCTCGTAAAGCAATAATTATTTCCAGTAATAATTTCTAATTCTCATTTTTCAGTGAAAAAAAGAAAAAAAACGAAAAACTTAAGCCAGACTTTCATTAGAAGCGTATCAAATAATAAATTTTCCCAATGAAATTTTCATATTTTTTTAAATTTAACCATTGCGAATTTAAAATTTAACTCCTTAGCTCCATTATTCATCGCGATATTTATACCCTTGACACGTTTATTTACAGTTATTGCTGATAGCAGTGTTCGCTAATGGAAATAGCGCATGCAACTATATTTATTTATCCAACATGTAACGCGAAACCCTTCAACCACGTAATTGTGTCTTGGCACTCGCGAGTTTTGCATCGAATACTTATTCTTGTCCCGAGATATCATCATCATTTGTCTTTATATAAGACATAATACGTTTTTAACGAAGTCTTAATATCACGAGAAAGATATTTTTACACTCCAATCATTCCAAATATCAAAAAAAAAAATTTTACAATCATTTCTGAATTTATACATATATATACATATATTAATCTCTCTAATCAATCCAGTCTATCTAAACTGGTTGGTTTTATGTAAAGTTGACAAACAACGACGTAATGAATACGACAGCGGTGAAAAGCTATCGAGTGGTCACTGTAATTCATCCGCCATTTGTAATGTACAACGAGGAGAAGAACGAGTATTACGGTTTTTGCATCGATCTTCTTAACGAGATTAAGAAAACGGTAGGCTTTCAGTACGAAATACGGGAAACGGATGATAAGAAATATGGGAGTCTAAATTTAGACGGAAGTTGGGACGGAATGATGAGGGAATTGATCGAGAAACGAGCTGACATCGCGCTGGGCTCTCTCTGGGTCACAGCGGAGAGAGAAAGGGTGGTGGATTTCACAGTGCCTTACTACGACCTTGTCGGCCTGTCTATCATGATGCTGAAAACGAAGACCACCACCTCTTTATTTAAATTCCTCACGGTATTGGAGAACGAGGTCTGGTTCTGCATCTTGGCCGCCTACCTCTTCACCAGTGTCTTGTTGTGGATCTTCGATCGTTGGTCACCGTACAGCTACCAGAATAATCGGGAGAAATACAAGAATGACGATGAAAAGAGGGAATTCAACTTGAGGGAGTGTTTCTGGTTCTGCATGACTTCTTTGACACCACAAGGTGGTGGAGAAGCTCCGAAAAATCTTTCGGGACGACTGGTCGCAGCCACTTGGTGGTTGTTCGGTTTCATAATCATCGCCTCTTACACGGCAAATTTGGCGGCGTTTTTGACGGTATCCAGATTGGAAATTCCGATCGAAACGTTAGAGGATCTTAGCAAACAGTATAAGATTCAATACGCACCGGTGATAAATTCCTCGGCTTATATTTATTTCAAGAGAATGGCTAATATCGAGTGGAAATTCTACGAGTAAGTAAACGAAGAGGTTAGAATAATTTTCCAGATCGAATCGTTTGAAAATTTCAAAAAGATAAAGGAGAGATGAACAATGATGTTATATCTTATATCTACGTTTTAGAATTTGGAAAGAGATGAGCCTTAACGACAGTTTGTCAGACGTGGAGAGAGCCAATTTGGCAGTGTGGGATTATCCTGTCAGTGACAAGTACACAAAAATGTTGCAAGCTATGGAGGAGGCAGGATTTCCGGACTCGACGGAAAAAGCACTTCGACGAGTTCGACGCCTCGATTCGAATAATGAATTTGCCTATATAGAAGATTCAACAACTATTAAGTATCTTACTATGACGAATTGTGATCTGATTCAAGTAGGAGAAGATTTTTCGAGGAAGCCTTACGCGATTGCTGTTCAACGAGGATCACCTTTGAAAGATCAGTTTAATAACGCGTAAGTTATTATCTCTATTCTTTTCTATCTATTTTCTAAAGTAAAATTAATGGATAAAATTGTATTTTGCTTTCTTTCTAATATCGTAATATGTATTTTTCTTCTAACGCAGAATTTTGATACTGTTAAACAAGAGGAAATTAGAAAAATTAAAAGATAAATGGTGGAAGAAGAATCCGAACAAAAAGGATTGCGACGCAGAAAACAGTCAAAGTGACGGTATAAGTATTCATAATATCGGAGGAGTGTTTGTAGTCATATTTCTAGGTATCATTTTTGCTTGTTTCACTTTGGCATTTGAGTACTGGTATTATAGACACCGTACGAAGATCACGAAAATCGATCGAAACAATACGATGAAAAATAAAATCACACAAGTAAAACCGCTCAGATTTAATTTACAGCCGGCGCCCACGCATGCTTTTCAAAATGTCCAATTCCGACCAAGATTTTGAATGTGTTCGTGACAAAAAAGAAAATACGCATAGACAAATAAATTATCCTATATTGTAGATACATGATAATTCGATTTTAATATTTATTTCTGTTTAATGTTCGATAAAAAAAAAATATATATATATATATAAACCAAGGAAAAAAATATTTTAAGAAACGAATATATCTTTTTTATTAAAAATATATCTATATATAACTGGAATAAATAATATACAACTATAGCGTTTGCAATGCCTTTATTTGGTTACTCCCTTTGTGTACATTATTTTGCGCAGAGAATTCATGTTCGAATGTTCCTTCGTGTTTTTTTCTTTACACTTCCACTTTTTCCATATCGCAATTCATGTACCTCGCTTGTCATTTTAAACTATCTTCCTCGTCACGTCTTAACATTATCATCATTGTTTTTTTTTTTTTTTTTTAATTAACATTTTACTCGCTCTTTTTCATTCTCTTTAAAAGGCATTATTTTTTTTCTAATGATGTTCCTTTCACATTTTCATCCGCTTAACCTCGCCAAGATAGGCGTAGTATTTTTTCGTGTTATACGTTCTTTTTTTATATACATATATATTTTTGTTTTTTTTTTTTTCCTCACATGTACGTCTTCAATAATATTTTCTCTGAGGGAGCATTGGAAAAGCATTGGATACTCTGGGTTTCTTTAAAACATGGGATCTGATGGATGATGGAATTGGGGCAGGATATTAATCATCTAGGATGTTAAATTATAATTAGGTGGATATAATTAAGATAATCCATTAATAATTACGAAAAAAAAAAACAACAAGAAAATAGAATAGTACTTCGATGGTTCTCGGTTTAATATCGTGCGGCACTTTTTTTTTTATCCTTTTTATTCATACTTATAAGTACTCCATCCTCGAATTTTATTCTTTTGGCTCTTCTCTCTCTTTTTTTAAATTAATTTCATTCTTTTTTTTGGCATTTTTTCTTAGTTACTCGTTATTTTCATTTTTTCTCTCTTTCCTGCAGTGCATCCAATGCAAACACACAATGAACGCCTGCACATCAGATAAGAAACAAAAAAGGAAAAAACTGCACGCTACAATTTCTAGAAAAATCAGCGCACTAATTATATATATATATATATATTATTTTTTTTTTTTTGTTTTTCGTTTCTTTCTCCTCGAAAAAGTTCACATAAAATTATCAACAAGCTACAAACGAAATCTCATTGACTACGTTCTCGATACTTTTTTCCTTTCTCTTTTGCACACGTTCTCATCGTTTGAACGTTGCGTAACATATATACCTTTTTTTTTTTCTTTCTATTTCATTCCGTTCTTTTTTTTTTCCTTTTTATTTTTCAAAGGGTTAATAATAATTATCTAAATGAACGTTTAATATTTCTTTCGTCTCGCTTCGCTCGCGTTACGACCGTTAATATTTTTTTTTTTTTTTTTTTTNTTTTTTTTTATTTCTTTGTTCAACGACGAACGGGGGTATTACATTTTTTTTTTTTTTTTTTTTTTTCTATTTTAACGGCACCATCTTGGATACATGCATAACAAATTCCACATGCCAAGAGGCCCCCCGATGTCATATTCTTTTATTTTTCTTTCTCTGTCAATAACAATTTACGTCGTCATCTTGAGAAAAAAGCATAACTACACCTCAAATCTTCCAGTCATATAGCATTTGTAGCAGCTCATATTAAGTTCCAGTTCATAAGGTCAACGGACGCAAAGTCGTCAGAGGCTGGCATCCGAAACTGCTACTGTGCCTTCTATCGGAAAAAACATATTAAACATGTAATTTTAATTGTATACTGCAACAATTTGACTAAGTACTCAGACCATATACATTCTATGTTACATTAAATAGCGCGTTTCAAATTAAATTCAACCTATGTAGTAGCAAATTGAGACCAATCTCTCGAAAGGTGTTTGCTCAATTAAATGCTGCTTAATATCATAACATATTACATACCATGTGATTGATTATGCGTATGTATACATACATATATATATATATATATATATTACATATACAGAACTTACACATACACATTTATCAATTTCAAGTTACAGATTGATTGATAACAAAAAAAAGTATATCCTCGATGTTCATAACTCGAATAATTTAACAACAAAAATTTTATTTTCACTATTCAGCCAATGATTTTTTATTTTAGTATGATATTTGTACCTCCGAACAAACGTGAAAAGCCTTATTTTAATGCGCAACAGAATATTAATATATATACGTTTCGCTGTAAAATTAAAATAAAATGATGGATATATGAGCTTATTTTTTCAATCATTTTCCAACTTAACAGCAATAATGCGTAGCGTAACAAATTAAAACCGAAAAAAAAAAAAAAAAGAAAATAAAAAACGACAACGGGGGATTACATTTTTTTTTTTTTTTTTTTTTTTCTATTTTAACGGCACCATCTTGGATACATGCATAACAAATTCCACATGCCAAGAGGCCCCCCGATGTCATATTCTTTTATTTTTCTTTCTCTGTCAATAACAATTTACGTCGTCATCTTGAGAAAAAAGCATAACTACACCTCAAATCTTCCAGTCATATAGCATTTGTAGCAGCTCATATTAAGTTCCAGTTCATAAGGTCAACGGACGCAAAGTCGTCAGAGGCTGGCATCCGAAACTGCTACTGTGCCTTCTATCGGAAAAAACATATTAAACATGTAATTTTAATTGTATACTGCAACAATTTGACTAAGTACTCAGACCATATACATTCTATGTTACATTAAATAGCGCGTTTCAAATTAAATTCAACCTATGTAGTAGCAAATTGAGACCAATCTCTCGAAAGGTGTTTGCTCAATTAAATGCTGCTTAATATCATAACATATTACATACCATGTGATTGATTATGCGTATGTATACATACATATATATATATATATATATATTACATATACAGAACTTACACATACACATTTATCAATTTCAAGTTACAGATTGATTGATAACAAAAAAAAGTATATCCTCGATGTTCATAACTCGAATAATTTAACAACAAAAATTTTATTTTCACTATTCAGCCAATGATTTTTTTATTTTAGTATGATATTTGTACCTCCGAACAAACGTGAAAAGCCTTATTTTAATGCGCAACAGAATATTAATATATATACGTTTCGCTGTAAAATTAAAATAAAATGATGGATATATGAGCTTATTTTTTCAATCATTTTCCAACTTAACAGCAATAATGCGTAGCGTAACAAATTAAAACCGAAAAAAAAAAAAAAAAAGAAAATAAAAAGACAAAGCTGTCGATAGTACGATTTCAGTAGTACGAATTCCTTCTACAGACGCTTTATTACCTTTTCCTATCATTGTGCAGAGGTACATTAGATCGTACCCAGCCCAGTTGACCCAATGCATAGCAATCTTTCTCGACATTCTCTTCTTCGCGAATAACAGTATCTTCCACTCCAATTGGAGTATAATGAAAATGATCCTGTTCGGAGAGAATTCTGCGTTTGACCGGAGATCGAATGGGCTCGGTTTGAACGCACTTGTCGCATTGACGCACCCTGAATTTCAACGTTAAATTCGAAGATACTGGAGAAAGCGATGAGTCGTTCTCTCGATACTCCATGTAAGGACTCTCTCCACCAGGTAAATATAACAAGTTTCCTGACTCAGATCTGCGATACGCGACCCGCTCTAAAGTATTGTTCACAGGAAATGTAGTCCCATCGGCCCACTGACCATCATCCTTTATTGGACGAAAGTGTGTGCGAGCGGAAGTAAGCAAATCCTCGTCCGGTTCTGGAAGGCTGTTTACTTTCAGATTTGAACGAGATTCTTTGCGTGTTCCAATGGGAGTTTTACGCGGAGCGACTGGAAAGAAGCAGCTACCTGTCTGAGGACTGTGGCCCAAGGTAGCTAAATTACTACCAAGCCCTTTCCAGCACCATGATCCATCCATAGCTGAGTCAGACCAGTTAACATTGTTCTCTGGAATAATATATATTAGATATTTATATTTTGGATTTTTCTGCGATAAAGTTAATAATTTTTACACGTATATGAAATAAAAAATAAGAATAAAACATATGTTACAGCACGACACAAATACAATGACATTCTACGACTAACTTGATGAATTCTGTTATTTACTTACATGTCAGAAGGATCTCCTATCCGTTGGATATACTTAAGTCAGTATTACTATGTCGTGATACTGATAGATCATATATATCTGAAATACTGACCTGATTTATTCTTGTTACTATATTCATCCGCATAATCTTCAATGCTGATTAAATCGATGTCCCATGGAATAAGCGGCGAGTCGTCAACAATAGATTCCTGATACGGCGTGTCAGTAGCATAACCATTGTCTGAGGTGGATAAAGTAAAGATTGTCTCGGTAGTATCTGTCGGCCAAAGGGGTCCTGAAGGAATAGAAAGTGTAGGTGCTGCCCAAATCGAAGCCGTGTCTTGTGCATTGCCTGGTCCTGAATCCCAAAGTGCTTCCAAGCTCTCGTCAAACTTTGCTTGTAATTGTGCCAATCGAAGTTTATCCAATTCCAATTCTAGTTCTTTTTCTCTTTCAAGTTCCATTGATTTAGCAAATCCAAAACTTTCTTTTTCTTCTGATCTTCGTGAGTCAATAGACTGGAGAAAAATAGATCAACTCATTAAAAATTTCGCAATATTTAAGTTAAATATGATAATATAAATACTTACAATAGACATTTTTGTTTTTTTATTGCGAGATTTATTAGTATTCTTATTATTATTATAGTTGACTCCGTTAATTTTATTATTATTGTTGTTATTATTTCCAAAATTCCGATCTTTTTTCTGAGAAAATTTTTTCAAGTTTGTAGGTTGTAAAGCAGGAAATGCCGCGTAATATCTGAGAGCTCTGTCGCGAGGTGTAAGCGACTCTAAATTTGTTTTATTTTCATCATCGGACTTCTTAAATTCTTCTTCTTTTTCATCTGAGCCGCCTCCTTCCAAATCTCGAAGTTTCATACATAATTCGTCGACCAACGTTTCCACACCACACTTCTGTATAATTAAGAATATATAAGATAAAATAATAATGTAAAAAATAATATATGTGTGTGTATGTGTGTGTATATATATATATATATGTAAAAAAATTTGAAGTATAGTAAATGATATTAAAAATTATTGTTACTTACATTATCAGCAGCACTTGTTAAACATTGCACGACAGCACGTCTTTGCTCTCTATCTCCTTGCGTGGGCAGTTTTGCTTTAGGTCGGGCCCGAATGCGACGCCCTCCGTTTCTACCTGTACCTACTGCTTCTTCTGGTGGGCTTAGGGCCGAGTCGGGGCAGCGCAATAGGCTGAGCACAAATCGCGAGTACGCAACGGGGTCAATTCCCAATGCGTCCAAGCGTGCCTCGAGCCACTGGCGCAACTCCTCCTCGGCCCTGGTACCAAAAACTTCACCTCCACCAGGGGACGTCGCTATTCCGACCAGATGCAATGCCGGATTCCTCATTTCCTTTTAATAAAGCTCCTCCTAGACCCAGGAACTTTTACAGACTTCACTACCTCCAGGGTGATCATCTTCTCTCCTTAAAACGTAAGTAAATTTTATCATTATTTATATATTAAATTTTAATATGATGAAAATTTATGAAGAAAGTGAATGATTAAGTTACCTATTTACAATAGAGTTACTGTATTATATTATTGTCCTTTAATGTTTCAATTTTACTGAATCCACCACCTTGACATTTACTAGCTTGATAAATGTTCTTTTTTTTCTCTTTGTTACTTATAATTTCTCACTTTTAGTTTCGTTGCCCACAATCAATGGTGGTACTTCTTATGATTTCAGTTACGTTGATATTAAAAATTACTTAGTTCTTGTGCAGGTGGTGGATATCTTGTGGAAATGAGGCTGGCAGGTCTTAGTGAAGGATAACAAATATAGTCTCCTTCCCATTTTGACACTGAAATTTTATAATTTCCAAATTATTCTTTTAAATATTCTATATACAAAAATATATTCTGTAAATAAAAAAGTACGTGTTTGTTTTTTTATCATTCTCATTTATTTATATAATAAAAAATATAATTCCATAATGTACATAATATATTTTAGCAAAATCCATTTATATATATAATATAATTATATATATAATTATATATATATATACAATAAACTTATATTTATAAAAATCTTTTTAAATAAACCATAAAAAATTGTTATCACGTTTCTTATATAAGCAACATTAAATAATAATTGTATAAAACTTTCACTTTCATATAAACTGAAAAAGTGTTAATGTCAATATATTAACAAACTTGTACAATATGCTACATATACAAGATGATATACAGAAACATAACATTCATTAGAACAAAGCTACATTAACAATAAATATTATTTTTATAAGTATCTAAATAAGTTATAGCAACAAGCATTATTATTCAATATATATCATAAAATAATAGGAAAAAAATAAATAATAAATATTTAAATATAATAAAAATCAATTACTGATTTTTATGCTTTTTCAATAAAATATTAAAATATATAATAGGCATTATTTATTTTTATTTCATAAATATAATATAATATAAAATATTATAATAAAAATTTTCAATAATCATATTATAAATGAAGTAAATATATTTGAAGTAAATATATTTCTTTATTTGTTAATCATAAGTCAAAACAATATTTATTTCATTGACATAAAAAAAATATTTATGTCATTGACATAAAATTAGCATGAAATTTTATTTATTTTATTAAAGCATATAATTATACAAAATATTTCTATTGCAAAATTTTAAATATCACATTTGATATATGTTCGGTTAAATTTGCAAAGATTTTACGCAAAATATAGTTGCAAATGTAAGACGCAGTTTTAGAATTAAACGTTCATGTTAGAGACTATTAAGTCACGTTGCACAAATCGTGGAGCTAAAGTACATGTTCCACGTCGTGTCTAAAAAAACGAGTTACCATAATGCACATATAAATAAAAACAAATTACTGAACCTGTCGAAACGAATCGATACTTTTATCAATGTTGTCAAAAACATTTATCGCTACATTACGTGAATATGAGTAATTAAGCATAACATAAGATTTTTGAGTTTGCACGCATTATCAACCAGCCTCGTCCACTTGATAGATGTCTCTCGTACTGGTGCACAAAAACAAACTGTAAATTCGAGTGCATAATACTGCAATTTGGCTGTTTATGGATTGTTGGCAAAGACATTGCTAGAGCAATGCAAATAACCTTGCTGATTGCGCTATGCATTTTGTCTGAGTCATAGTTCTTTTGACAAGAGAACGAACAAATGCATGACGTTACGAAATAACAACAAACATATTTTCACATTCAATGCATTGTCATCTTGTGACAAGTATTATAATTACTTCGATCACGATTAATAAAAATATTAAAATTTTGACATACCTGCATGCCTCGAGAGATGATTTTCACCCCGGCCTCTTCTACACACCCCACTCAGAGAAAAACATGGCGGCTACTAAAAGCTTCATTGCCCCTCCCCCTTCAGATACTGGCACTTGATAATTCTTGAAAAAGATTCTCAGTGCGTTCAGAAATTAACCTTCCATTGATTACAAAGATTAATTGAATATTATTTGTAATTACATCTGCGATATATTTATTATTTATTAGGTTTTATTGGATATTTTATTTTTAAAATTTTATTTTCATTATAAATAAACATACGTTTTGTAAATTTTATTTATTATAGAATGTTTAATTTATTCATATTAATAGTAAGTGTAAGTTATTTTAATAAGTGTAAACTAGAAAAATTATAATAAACAAACACATGAAAGAACAAATTGATCTGATCAATTTTAATATTTTCGACATTAGTAATTTAATAAATCTTATATCTTTAATAATTATATTTAATAATAATTAAAAAGTACTTTAAAAAATATATGCATATAATATTATTATTAAATCTGAAAATAGAATTATTTAAAATATAGATATATTTATATATTTACTATTAAATTGTTTAATAGACTTTAATAAGTCTTAAATATTTTATAAAAGAGAGTTAATGTATTTTTATTTAATAGTTTAATTTATAGTAGAAATAGCATGTATATATTTTTAAATGGTTAAGAGAATAAATATTATAGATAAACAAAATTGAATTTTTTAATGTAATTATAATGTACATTTAATTTCAAATATATTCTAAAAAATAATATTAAAATAAATATTTGTAATTCAGTATTAATTATTACACTAGAATAGTGATATTTATTTAATCAGCTGATCATTGTTCTGTATCACTATGTTCAAGTCGGAAAATGTGTGATGGTGAAGTATTTTATCACATTACAGATAAAAACGACTTTGGAAGATTGCATAAATTACAAAAAAATATTGTAATATAAGATGAATTCTTTAATTCATACTAAAAAAATGGTATCCGGTCACAGAACAGCAATTCGCAGTATGTAGAATTATTTTTTTTCAATAATAAATCAGAACAATAATCTTAATTATATTCTAATACATATATTATACATATTATACATAGTACATTTATATAACCGATATATTTACATATAAAGTTATTAATATCTATGATAAATTAATATAAATTTTCTTTTTTTCATTATTATTTTTTTTATTAATCTGTGTAATTCTAATCTTATATAGGTTATGTTGTGAAATAGATATTATATTGATATTATTATATTTTTTGTATCAATTATAATATTTTAATTATTTAAATAATTTTAATTTTTTCTATTTATAATCAATTATTATTTTATTTTTAAAAAGATATGTTAATGAAAAATATATCATATAGAAATGTAATTTAAATATTTTACAAAATATATACTTATTACAGATTATTGCAGCTTTAAATTATGGTATAATACTAATCAAATAAATAGTAGCTTGACATTTATTTGTGTAAATAGAAGAAATCCCAAGAATAACAGATTATTATTACATTCTACAATAACAGAAAATTACAATAATAATTTGTCCTATGTACAATTTCGTACATTTTATATTACACCAATATGGAATGGTCAAGAATCATCTTCCAAAGTGGAAGATACAATAAAAAATATCAAGGAACAAAAAGAGCTTGAAGCTAAAACACAAGAATGTGTTGTTCATACTTCTTCAAAATCAAAAATAGCAGAAAAAAAGCCACCAATATGGGAAAGAGTCAAAGGAGAAATTTTACATTATTATCATGGATTTAGATTATTAGGTCTTGATATGAAAATTTCAGCAAAATTGATATGGAGAATCTTACAGGGTAAAGAACTTAGTAGAAGAGAACATAGACTTGTAAGCTATAAATGATTACATATATTTACAATTAATAATTGTAAAGTATATTCATTTAATTATTTTTGTGATTTTCTAATTTAAATATTTTTAGCTTGTAAAAACAACAGGGGATATGTTCAGACTTATTCCTTTCTCTGTTTTTGTTATTGTACCCTTTATGGAATTTTTACTTCCAATTGCTATTAAAGTTTTTCCTGGATTATTACCATCTACTTTCCAAACAGCAACAGATAAAGAAAATAAATTAAAACAAGCATTGAAAGTATGCATTATAATTTTATTTTTTATAATCATATATATATATATATAATATATAATTATATATATTACTTTTTTAATTCAGATTAAAATTGAAATGGCAAAATTTTTACAACAGACATTAGATGACATGGCAGTACAATCAACCGATTGTAAATCTCAAAAAGCCAAAGAATTTGCTGAATTTTTTTATAAAGTTCGAACTTCTGGTGCCGTGGCTACTAATGAAGAAATTATGCAATTTAGCAAACTTTTTGAAGATGAAATTACATTAGATTCTCTTACTCGACCACAATTAGTAGCATTATGTAGAGTATTAGATGTACAAACTCTTGGAACATCGAATTTTTTACGATTTTTACTTAGAATGAGACTTAGAAGTCTTACTGCAGATGATAAAGTAATTTTTATGTAGATATAAAATGCATTTTTTAGGGGAATAATAAAAATGCAGATTTAATAATAATATTTATTTTTACAGTTAATTGAAAAAGAAGGTATAGATTCACTTACTAGAAGTGAATTGCAACAAGCCTGTAGGGCTCGCGGAATGCGAGCATATGGATTACCAGATAGTAAATTAAAAGAGCAGTTGTCTCAATGGTTAGACTTAAGTTTAAATAAAAAAGTACCACCTTCATTATTACTCCTTTCACGAGCACTTATGGTTCCCGAAACGATACCAATGTCAGATAAATTAAAAGCTACTATTTCTGCACTTCCTGATACTGTTGTAACACGTACTCAGGGTGCAATAGGAGAAAAAGAGGGTAAAATGGATCACAAAACGAATATCGAAATTATTAAAATGGAAGAACGCAAAATTGAAGAAGAGAGGCAAGAAAAAGAACCACAAACTACTGTTTGTTTGCAGACCAACAAAACGGACGAAATTACGAATTCAGATGTAAAAGTTTTAGAACAGGCTTTAGATTGTCTTGGAAAGGTTTGTAGGAATGAAATATTATTATATTATTAAATTAATAGTTTTTAATCATTTCTTCTAAAAATTAAACATATATCTAATTTCATAAAGGATAAAGAAATGTCTGTTGAAAAAGAAGAGTTAAAAGAATTGAAAGAAGAAATGGCTGATTATCAAGAAGATCTTAAAGAATTTTATGAAATAAAAGCAAATGCTAAAGGTCAACAAGACATAGAAAATATTAAGGTATCCAAAGGTGCCATTCGTTTGTTCAATAAAGTGAATAAAATGATTAATAAAATGGATGCAGTTGTTGTTCAACTTGAATGTGAAAAGAAAATGAAAGAATTACAAAATATAAATAATGTTAATAAAGAACAAGCAACTACTTCAAAAACTGCTGAAGAATTAGTTAAGATAGATGAATTAATTTCAGCAATTAAAAAAATGCAAAGTGTACCTGATCAACATCGATTACAACGCATAGCTGAAATTTTAGCAAAAATTGATGATGATAGAGATGGAGCTATAAAAATTGAAGATGTCTTAAAGGTAATATATAATATGGTATAAATAATAGAAAAAAACAGAAAATTAATTTATTTAATTTATAATAATTATGGTTTTAAGGTATTAGAATTAATTGGTAAAGAAGACATCAAATTAAGTAAAAAGCAAGTAGATGAATTAGTTGAGTTGATTGATAAAGAAGAAATATTGGAAGAAAAAGAACAAAATCAAAAAAAGTTACAAAAAGATTCGCGTGAATTTAAAGATGAAAATGATATTAAAACAAAATGTATTTTGCCTCAATCATCAGTTTTTGTTACACCAATAACAACTGAAAAGGACATCGGTAAAGAAGAATTAAAAAAAGTTGTTGAAGAATCGAACAAAAGTTATACTATACATTCATCTGAACAAGAAAGAGAAAAATCAGCTGCAATGCTTAAGAGTAATTCTAGTTCTGATGGAGTTAGAAATCCTCCCTTAACTCCCAATGTTCCATCATCAACAAAAAAAGCAGAAGGCTCTAAGCAACTGTAATTACCGCACAATCAAATATTATAATTTATGTAATTAAACAACATTTTTATTGGGTACAGATTTAGAAAACTATCATATTTTCATCTTTATAGATTATATGTCTACCTCTATATAATATGATATTATAAACTTTTTTTTTCCTTTTTTTTCTTTTTTCTTTTTTTTTTTTTTTTTTTTTTTTTTTTTTTTTTTTTTTTTTTTAACTTAAATGAATTTATATAGTAAAAAATGATTGCAACAAAAATAATTGCAATAGTTTCATGTGTGTAGTATGTAACACACTTTATGATAAATGTTACATGCATGACTTTAACCATTTGTAATATTTAATTAAGAGTAAAGAAAATATTAATATAATTTTTGTATTTATGAGAAAAGATTTTGAATTTTTAAGACTGTGATGCATTTAATGGCATCAATATATATTTGTTCTATGAATTTTCTAGATAAAAAACGTGCTGGACACAAAAACAATGTAATGCTTTTTAAAATTGTAAGTGACAATATTAATGTTACTGATATTGATAATTAGTAATGAAATATGACAGAAATATATAGTTATTATTTCAATATAACCTAATTCCAAAATATTGTAATAAGGAATCATTCCATTTGTTCAAGCATTGATTATTATTAGGATTATAATTCATAAACTATAGATCATTTTTGTTTTACTGTACAAAAAAAATATATACCTCAATAATTGAGGTTAAAAAGTTGTACATTTATAAATACAGTAATTAATAATTAAGTACAGAACAAGAAAAGCGATTATGTTTATGTACTGATTACATAAAAAAACATGATTATGTAATTAAGTATGCAATATTTTAGTAATATAAGTACTATGCATTACATGAAAATTGTACATTTCAAAATTAAAGATCGACTAACACTAAATTTTGATTACAATTGAAAATAAATGAAATATTATTTTTATTAACAATAAACTTATGAAAAAATATTAAAAAATAGAATTTTCGCAATAACAACTAAATTATAAACATTCAAATATATCTATGATAATACATATACATTTGCACAAAATATATTGTTATAAAAAAATATTTTATTTCAGAAACAACACAAATGGTAATGATATTCAAGATATTTGAACATTTTTCATTTATTCAAGGTATTTATACATTTATTTTTTTATTTTTATGAATCATATTTTCAATTTATATTAATAAAATCATTTCTGTACAAAAACTAGTAATTATTCTTCTTCTTTTAGTTTAAGTCAATATTTATTATTAATAATATAACAAATTATATATCTTTTAATTATTTTTTATTATAATTTTGTGTCATATTCTACTTTAGACAATTAATATTAGATATAATAATTAATAATATAAAAAGTAAAAATTATTAAAGATAAATAAATAATCGTTAATTATATATACATATATATATATAAAATATCATGTATAATTAATTTTTTTCTTTTAAATATTGGTATTGTATATTATTATTATTATTATTTAATTACAATAACTTAAATTTGCTTTACTTAAACTTTACTTCATATACTTTTATTGATTATTTCGAATACTTAAGCGTAAAGATTTCTTTTTTGTAATTTATCTAAATTAATGTACATTTTTATTTGAATTATAAAAATATAAATATATTTTAAAATTAATGTAATAATATTTCATTATATAAAAATATTACTAAATTAAATCTAAATATTAGATAGTCAAAAATCAACACTTAAAAGTGTCATAAATTATTCCTTTTCTATTATGTATCAAATCTAATTTTAAAATTTATTTATAAACAAGTAATATTATATATATAATGAATATATTATAATTTAATCTAATTTTTTTTTAATTTTCTAAATAAATAAAAAAAGGAAATATTAAAACTTGCGTATAATACAAAATTTTATCCATAGCACATGTATGAAATCTAAAGACGGAGTGGATACTTTGTAATACCGGTTATTTCGCTTTTTATAAAAGCGATATAAATTTTGTGAATATTTAATCATAATGACTGCGTTAAGTGGTTTTATGGAATTTTTTCAAAAAGGAAAGGTAAATTTTCACTTATATTAAATATTAATTAAATTTTCTAAATAATTAAAATTCTAACCTAATGTAAAAAATGTTATCGATTATGATTTTTATATTTAATGCATTAAACAATATCTATTTAGAATATATAAAATTATTGACTTATTTCAAGAATATTAATATCAATAAATATTAATATAATTTTATATATTATTATTATATATTATATATTATTTTATTATATAATCTATATTTATTGTTTTAATTTATTACTATAGATATTTACTAAAATTTTTAATATATTTTAAATCATTTAATATATTTTAGACATTTAGACCAAAAAAGAAATTTGCTCATGGAACTTTAAGATATTCTTTGCATAAACAAGCACAAGCTTCATTGAATTCAGGAATTAATTTAAGATCTGTTGTAAAATTACCTCCTGGAGAAGATCTGAATGATTGGATAGCTGTTCATGGTATATTATAATTTTTATTAATTATTTATTATATGTAATAAATGAATTTAAAAATGTATAATTTTTAATAAATAATAACATAATTTCAGTGGTAGATTTTTTTAATAGAATAAATTTAATATATGGTACTATTTCTGAATATTGTGATTCTGCATCTTGTCCAACAATGAGTGGCGGAGCTCGTTTTGAATATTTATGGGCAGATGGTGAAAAATATAAAAAACCTACTGCATTACCAGCACCACAATATGTTAGTCTTCTTATGGATTGGATTGAAGCTCAAATTAATAATGAAACTATTTTCCCTGTGTCAACAGGTATAAAGTTTTAAATATTTAAATAATAGTTGATAAGTTATTTATGTAACAATTTTTTTTACAGATGTACCATTTCCAAAAACTTTTGTCCTATTATGTAGAAAAATTTTAACACGTTTGTTCAGAGTTTTTGTCCATGTTTATATACATCATTTTGATCGTATTGTAGCAATAGGAGCAGTAGGTTTTATATTCTTATGTATTATATACATCAATGATATATTATTTTATTATAATATAATTGAAAATATTTCTATTTTAGGAAGCACATGTAAATACATGTTATAAGCATTTTTATTATTTTGTAACAGAATTTGAATTAATAAACACAAAAGAATTAGAACCACTAGCTGAAATGACAGCTAAGGTTTGTAAGGATACTGCATCACCAACACAAACAACAGCACCATCAAATAATACCAGATAGTGATAAACTTAATAAATGTATAAAGCCATAATCAAATTAGAATGAGATAAATTTTTTCTAATGTAAGTAAAAAATCTAAGAAATTTTTAATTTGTTTTTTTTCTTCGAAAATATTATAAAATTTTATATTTAGGATGTCACAAAATATTACTTTTATTGCTATTTACAAAATCGAAGAATTTCAAGTGCTTTATTCTGTATAGTGCTTCTAATCTTCTATTGGAGATAATTTAATATAATCATCTCTTTTTAGTTAGTCATAAATGTTATTAATATATTAAATATATAACAAATTATACAATTAATTTTAAAAATCCATCCTTTTTGTGGATAAATAGACACAGCAATAAATTGTATTTACATTTATGTGCTTTGAAAACAATTTGTGTATAGATTAATATTTGTATTCAAGTAATTTTATATATCAAGTTTTATAAAGAGAATTTAAATATTATTTATAATATTATTTCATAAAAATATATAATTGTACATATAATTTTGCGCTATTAAGATGCTTATGTAATATTCTTATATAATGTATTAAAAATTAAAAACATTTTTTATGAAATTAAATAATACTGTATTCATAATAAAAATATAACATCATACAGTATAAAAAAAGTACAAATTTAAAAAATAATAAAACATAATAAATTAATTTCCATCATAAAAATTGTTCACTGTTTTTAATTAAATAAATAATTTACATTAACTATAAACAAAATTACTTCAAATTATATTTTGAAATATTTTCATCTATTAAATATAATTTTTTTTTCCTATAAATTACAAGTCAAAAAAAATGAATTCTTTAAAGATAAATTTATTGGTACATTTAAGCCAGATAATACATGAAAATGTATTTGAAAATGTACTATTTATTAGTTGAAGTTAAAATAAGACTATAAAATATCAATGAAAAACAAATAAAAAATTTTTTGTATAGATAATTATTAATTTATAGTTATATTTTTATAGTCTCATTTTAATTAAAATTTTTTTGCTAAAAATGATGTTATTTATAACTTGTTCTAAATTTATCAAAGAAAATATGTTTACACTCGTAATCTGTACATGCCGGCACGAATGAGATTATAATCAAGTAAGTTTTCAATTGGTCCAACTGCTGCAATTACCGGACACTGATCATAAATATATTTCATACCAATATCATGAATATTTGAAGCATTTACACTCTGAAAATAATTTAATTTATTAAAATAAAAATAAAATTTAAAATATATAAAATTCAAATATCACTTACATCTATTCTAGCTTCAAGTTCATGAAGTGGTATGCGTCGATTATAACAAAGCATTTGACGTCCGATATCTTCGCAAATTGCAGTTGTTCCATCTAATTGAAGAAGCATATTTGTTTTAAGAATGTTTTTTGCACGATCTACTTCTTTTTCGGTTACTGTCGTGCATAATCTCATCCATTCACGTTGTACATTATATACAAAATCTTGAATTTCCATAGGATCACATACAAAATATATACCCCAAAGTCCTGTATCCTATAGAAAAGAAATTATTATTATTATATTCTATATATATATAATGATATAAATAATAATGTAATTTAATAGTAAGTACTTGATAACAAGTATTGAAACTTTGATAACTATGACATAATCCATCACTTGCAGAAGCTTCAGCCAAATAACTTATATTGTTTACACCTCCTCCTTGACTACGATCCCATGCTCCCATAAGGGTATTTGCAACCATAAGAGGAATGTTATCTGGATCAGTCCAACCTGCACCTTCAACAGCAATGGCAACATGTGCAAGAGGAATAGTATCATCACGAACTCTTATTTCTGATCCTGTATAACGGCATGGTTCTAATATTGAAGGAATTTCATCATAAAATGGTCCTTTCATTTGACCAAAATGTTTTTGAGCTAATTCTACCAATGCATTATGATTTACACCACCTGCACCAGCTAAAATAAATCTATAAAAATAATATAATTTTTAGATATATAATAAAATTATTTTATAAATATATAACTGTTGAATCACATACCTAGGTGGACCATAATATGACTTAACATAGTTAAGAAGATCATTTCTTGTAATACTTTTAATATTTTTAGTAGGACCAAGAATTGTTCTCCCTAATGGTGTACCCTGATAAGCACTAGCATGTAAATGATCAAAAACAACTTCTTGAAGATTTGTTTCAACTTCCTGCATTTCTCTTAAAATAACACCACGTTCTCTTTCTATTTCATTTTCGCCAAGTTTTGAATTTTGAATGATGTCACTTAAAATTTCAACAGCTTTTGGAACATCTTCTGCCAAACATTTAGCATAAAATACTGTTTGTTCTCTACTTGTATATGCATTTAAATGAGCACCCATATTTTCAATTTCTAACTCTAAATCAGTTTGTGAACGTTTAGTAGTTCCCTGTTTATAATTATTATAATTTTATCATTATTTTTAATAATTTACTTTAAATAAATTAAAAGAATATTTTTTACTTTGAATGCCATATGCTCCATAAAATGGGCAACTCCATTGTTTTCATCAGTTTCAAAACGACTACCAGCATCAATCCACAATCCAACTGTAGCTGTTGGTGCTCCACTATCTTCAGTAGCAACTCTCATACCACAATCTAAAGTTGTAACTTGAGTTGGTGGCTGATTCATTAATATTTCTTTTAATGATGCTGATGTAGATCTCCATTGCTTTTGTATCTAAATGTAGTTATAAATAATAAAATATAATAAAAAAAAGAACAAATTATTATTATATTAATTCTATATAAAAAATTAATTTAATTTTATGTATTGACTTGTTTATAAATTTATATAATTTTATTTAAAAGATATAAAAAGAATTATATTAACATTATTAATTTTTATTAAATAATTTTATAGCAAGTAATTAAAGGATCAAATAAATATGAATTTGATAATATTTTTAATTATTAAAATATAAAATTATTTATTAATATAAAATTAATTTTGATAATGTATAAAAACATAAATGTTGAATTTTTAATTTTTTGTATTTATCATGTTATTGTGCAGAATGACATATATATTTATACATATGAATATTAAGGTTATGATAGTTTAATACAAATAATTCTACATGTGTAACATAAAATTCTATTCATTGTATTTTAATTTTTGTTCGTTAATACTTATTCATTTCGTTTCTTTTGTTTTTACAAACTTTCAAAAGATTCATTCTTATTACGTAAGGAGAAAATGGAATCAATCGTTTTTTATCTCGGAAAAATTATATTGATTTGAATATAGACTTTAAAAATAATTATTCTAATATAATATAATAATTTTATTATTTTATAAATCCTTGATTTTATTACCTTCACGAAGCTACTTTTGTTGGAATAAGCCCGCAATGCAGAGCTAACTTTAAGCATACAAGTCGCCATTTCTACAAGTCTTTGCAACTGCGCGCACGATTGGTACGATCTTGTTATAAGAAAGATAATATAGTTCAAATTAATGCTTCAAAATAATTTTGATATACTTTTTTCATTATACTGTAAATAAATATATGTATAAATAATATGTAAAAATTTATCTAATATTAGTTTAATTATATAAAATTATTTTATATATATTGTAAAATTAATAAAAAATCGATTCTTTTAAATGATATGTAATATAAATTTTTATTAATTTTATAAAATTTTTTTAATAGAATAATTTTTTTAAACATATTAAGTATTGAAAAAAATGTTTAATTATATCAAATATCACATATTAAATATTAGATATCATTAAAATATATTATAAAACATAAATATTATAGAATGCATTTCTTATTCGGTTATTGAATTTTGTACTATACTTATAGGGAAATTTATTATAGTGAAAAAATTCCCTATTTCATTGTTGTTGCATCTGTAAAATTCGAAAACCGGTACAATTGTCAAGTATATTCCTCATTTGTAAATATTCTTATTTTCAATAAAATAAGTAATTTTAATTAAATATTTATAGGCCTTTGAATTTTAGTTAAAAATGGATAGTATAAATGATACCACTGAAAATTTAGAACGATCTATTCAAATGTTTAATCAAGAAAATGCTCAACGAAAGTCATTTTTGAGGTTAAGTGGAAAAAGTATAACTCCAAAAAGATTATCTTTGCAAAGTACTAATCATTTACGAAAAGACCAAGATGATTCTTATCAATTTAACGATATTAATAGCCCTAAAATATTAGGCAAATTCTATCCTCATTCAAGATTAATTAAGGGCCATGATCTTTTGGATATTGATAATTCATTAACACTTACTCCTCATGAAGTTCGAGATATAATGGCTGCTTCAGAAAAAGGTGAACTTACCTTGAGAGAAATGATGGAAGATAGTAGTGCAACTGGTATAATTTTAAAATCAAAGAAACCCTTAAGAGATGTCATGTCTAAACTTTATTATGATTTTTTACATAGTGTACAGATAAATTTTTCAGAAACACAAGTGTTTGATACTATTGCAGATTTTATACAAAATTGTACAGATACATTAGATATAATGAGAGGTATATAGAAAATTATTATTTATTTATTAATCTTATATTTTTATATTATATTTTTCATATAATAAAAGTATTCATTATTTAGGAATGCAATCTAAGGTAGAAACTAATGTATCAGATGAGGAAATTTCTTTAGAGAATGAAAGAAATACATGGAGGCTTATTTATTGTTTATATCAAAATAGAATAAATAGTCTCAATTTTCCTACTCCAATGGAAGATGATTTAGAAGAAAGTAATACGTACATATCAGAAAAAGTTGTAATAGATAATTTATTTAAAACTGAAAGTTACATTAGAGAATATCAGTTAATAATTGACTGGTTGGAAAAGAATGCATTGGATCAAGCGGAAAAACACCCAATTACTGAACATTTCACAGATAAAACACTTCCATGGGAAAATACTGTAAGACAATTATTAACATATGAGAACAAAGATCAAATTCCATTTCGTTCAACTAGGCCATTATTATCATCTCTAGATCCAGATGCTCCAATAAGAGAATCTGGAGAAGGAAAATCTTTACATGATTTAGATAAAGAAGATGATAAAAGACTCGAAAAAAGAATGTTCATAGAGGTATAAACTTTTTTTAATAAAAAATCAAATTGAAATGATTATATAAATAAGATATAAGATTAAAAAAACATAACATGAATAATATATTTCACTCAATAGGTTCGTTGCGGTCGTCTTCAAAAAGCACAGGCATTAGCTGAACATTGTGGGCAGCCTTGGAAAGCTGCATGTTTATTAGGATGGATACCTCATCATGATCCTAATTATCAAAATCCATTAATTGATACTAAATTGCCCATTGTAGGAAATCCTAATAGAAGTTTATGGAAATTGTGTGCTTGGGAACTTTCACAAGATAAACGCGTAGGTAATAATTTTCTTATTATATTCATTATTAAAAATAATTTATGAAAATATTTATATTTAAATTTTTTTCATTTAGGCGAATATTATCGTACTATTTATGCAAGTCTTTGTGGAAATCTTCAACAAATGTTACAAATAGCGACTTCTTGGCAAGATGCACTATGGGCTTATATGAAAACATTATTAGATA